ATTACTTTGATTGATACTTGGGCACGTCATAAGAATGCAACAAAAATGATAGGGTTTTTTATGCAATAGAGACTTTACCAAAATATCTACTGTCTGCAAAAGAAAAGTAGCCAAGATTATAGATTTTTCCAAAGCAAACATCGTTTTTTTTGCCAGATTTTTGTACCCTAAATTAACATCTGCTCATTTCAAACACAACCTTCCATATGATGTCTATCCAGAATCTCCCAGGAAACTCAATTATGTCCCGGGGCTAGAGGTATAGAGATAGATAGGTATAGGGGATATAGGAGATATAGGAGATATAAGAGGCATAGGAGATATATCATTACACTCCTTAGAACCACCAAAACTCACATCATATGAGATTTTATGTCAAAATGATTTGTGTAAATTATAATTCGATGCTGATATATATATAGAAAAACTCTTGTTACTAAACAACCTACAATTCATATTAATCTTGCAAAATCTATTTCATTATTTTTTTTTCAAAGTGTACGGATCTACTCATACATAATCCAACATCAATTGCTGATCATTTTTTGTTTTATGAGAATCAACAGGATTGAAACACAACTATCATTTGATTCAGGCGAATACAATTGCACGATTCGAATCACAACAGAAAGTCTTTAAATTCATTAAGCAGAGATAATACCATTGTTCACAATTTTATACTATACCATTTACGTATATGTCAAACTTGACACATGAATTCAATTAAAATTTCACGCTTCAAGTTTCCACTTACAATTATAACATTTAAGGTCTCATATAAAAAGCACTCTGTAAAATTACGACTCATAGACATTTACACGCACACATCATTCTAGCTGGTGTGAGTGCGGCGAAAGGACTTTCATCAGTTTCAACATTCACGCATCCACAACCACACATCATCGCAGCTGGTGTGACTGCGCAGAAAGAAGTTTCATCAGCATCGACTTCCACCTATCCACAACCACACATCATCGCAGCTGCTGTGAGTGCGCAGAAAGGAGTTTCATCAGTGTCGACATACACGCATCCACACGCACACATCATCGCAGCTTCTGTGAGTGCGGCGAAAGCAGTTTCATCAGTGTCGACATACACGCCTCCACACGCACACATCAATGCAGCTTGAGTGGGTGCGGTGAAAGGGGTTTCATCAGTGTTGACATACACGCATCGATACGCACACACATCAATGCAGCTTGAGTGGGTGCGGCGAAAGGAGTTTCATCAGTGTCGACATACACGCATCCTCACCCACACATCATTGCAGCTGGTGTGGGCGCGGCGAAAGGAGTTTCCCCACTATCCACTTACGCGCATCCACACGCGCACATCGTCGCAGCTGCTATGGGTGCGACGAAAGCAGTTTTATCAGCATCGACATACACCCATCCACACGCACACATCATCGCAGCTGGTGTGGATTCCGCGAAAGAAGTTTCATCAGCGTCGACTTCCACCCATCCACAACCACACATCATCGCAGCTGGTGTGGCTGCGCAGAAAGGAGTTTCATCAGTGTCAACATATACGCATCCACATGCACACATCATCGCAGCTGCTGTGAGTGTGGCGAAAGAAGTTTTATCAGCGTCGACTTCCACCCAGCCACAACCACACATCGTGGCAGCTGGTGGGACTGCGCAGAAAGGAGTTTCGTCAGGGTGTGGGTGTGGGTGTGGGTGTGAGTCTTCTCCTTATCTACAGCCACAGTCACACCCACACCCACGCATATCCACACTCACACATAGCCAAACTCATACACACCCACACCCATACCCCACACCAACACTCACATATACACACATCCACATTCACATTCACCAGATCGTTTGAGGCTAGGAATGTTGGGTGCCCTCCGTTACTTTTTGCTCGTCTGGGGATTGAATCCTTCATTGCTTTTGACCGAGAGTAGATTGGTATTTGTTGAAAGAACGAATTCCAAGGATTTGCAGAGAAAAATGAGATGCGAGATGGAAGAAAAAGTTCACAATATCATATATAGAAGCCAAAAGAAGATTAATTCATAATAGTTTGTCTTCTTTTGAAACTTATTTGTTCACTGAAAAAAAGAATCATTCTATTTTGTATCTAATTCATATACATGTATCGAGTCGACTTTGAAAGAGTTAAATAAAAATTGTAGTTTTCTTTCCGTCTGCTTGTTCATGGGTTGAAAATTGTTTCTGTGCCGACAATTTTCTCTTTTTCTGTTTGAAGACAATTTAAAAAGTAAGAAGCCAGTCATTGTATCGCAAAAGCACCGAGGCGCATATGATCAAGAAAGTAATAGTTGTGGGTATGAGTGTAGGTATGAGTCTAGGTATGGGTCTAGGTTGGTACTGGTGTAGGTTTAATTTGAAAAAATTAAAAAAAATTTGTCTTAATTTATTTTTTAGATTAAGTATTGTTTAAAATGGCACTATTTTAATCCGATTTTCCATCGAAATAATAACTAAAATCAATTACATTTCTAAAAAATAACTCAATTATTATTGTGATTAGAAATCCGGATGTGGGTGTTAGTGTGAGTGTCGGGTGCTGGGTATGAGACTACTCTCCTTGATACCTGCATCCACAACCACACCCACGAACTCTTCACTTGATTGTATTTCTTCTCGAAATTAGAATCGGAATTGAGATACTAAGTCACCTGATGATACTCGTAGCTGAGAGAAAACACGGTTCTGTAACATTCATACATCGACACTCTCACTCAGAAACACATCGTATGTATAGGATTTCTGTTTCATTTTTTTTTCTCTGAATGAGTATAAGCCAATATATTTGGTTGTCGCCTTCATTAAACATGCAAGCAAAGAATTTTTAGAAATGCAAAAGAAACCCTGTGCGTATTCTTGTTACTAGCTTAATAAATAGCAATCATTCGAATCAAATTTCTTTATTTTCTTCATCAATGGGTAAGACTTTTTTCATACCTGTTCTGTATAATACAAACGTACAAAATTCACCATAGCATAAAATCTGTTTCGTTACAAAGTCCACTAATCAAGAAAAAAACTTCGCTTTTGAATTGATAATTAGACTAGACAAGTACAAAACACTTCCATGAAGTAAACCATAAAACAAGTGAACCAAGTTTGACCAGCATCGATGCATTCTCTAGCGAAAGCTGTCATGACGAAGGCGTCGGAATTCTCTGATAAAACTCTCCAAAGAATCCAAATTGGAAGTTCCTGGAGATTTAGCAAGGATCTTAGCGGAAATTCGTATGGTTTGTTTTAGGAGTGATTGTATAGCTCGCTACTGAGTTCCTTAGATAGGGAAGTCTTAAGAAAATACCACGAGAATGTGAGTGTGCTAATAGGTCTTTTCTCCATCGACATCCACACCCGGACTCCAAGTGAGTCTCTAAGGTCTCTAAGTTATCGATTGATAAACATCATTTCAGTCATGTATTCCTTCTGATTCTTTCATTAAGGCTACCTTTTACTTGAAAAGCCAATATTTAAATTGATGCCTAGTCATGTAATACTTGAAGTATAATAGTAAAAATTTAGTATCTGGACTACAGTCTGATAACTTATAACGGACGGCGCTTAAAGATTGAGACACTTTTGCAACGCTTTTTTCTCGATATTATTTGTCGCCCAATACAGTTTATAACAAGCTTATTTCATACAAAATGTGACTCACTACAAAACCTAGTATTGCGGTTCAGGATAGCATACTGTAACTTTATACAGGTTTGGAAATACGACACGCGTTCATTTTTCCAACTGCTTCATTTAAGCAACAAAGAGCCGCCTTCTTATAACAACCAAGTTTTTCTTGAGATATGCAAACATATGAAATAATTCTTCGTAAAATTCATTTTCCTTCTGCAGGAATTTCGCATTTCTTTGAAAAAAATTCCCGAAAACCTCACAGCGATCAAAATCTGAAGTTACCTAGTTTGGATCCATCCGAAGATCTATTTAGTTTTTCCGTACACGTGTAGCGAAGCTCTGTATGTGGCTGCGGAATGTGAGAAACAAATACATACGCACACCCACGCCCACACCTGTACTCACCTACATCTACACTCACATTCACAACCACATTCACACCCACACCCACACCTACACCCACACCCCGTCACGACCACTTGGAAAAGGATTTCATAATTGGAACTGTGATAGAAATTTTTCTGTCTGAGTTGTCCAGCTACGAATTCGCGTAGCAATGTTCCTAGAAAAATTCAGCTCAATGCGTAACCCTCGGGAAAGGTTTTTTCCGAATGAATCGAAAATGTTATGGTTAAAGATTTAAGCGTCTGTACGTCTGTACATTATGCACCGCAAGCCAATATTATATACTGTAATCATTTATTTCCAACAGGCTAAAGTCCAACTAGTTTCGAGTAGTGTCACATATCCAAAATTTTGGAGATGCGCCCACATCTCTCGCAGGAGATGCCGCATCTTCCGCGGGAGACGCGGTCATTTTCCACTGGAGATGTATCATCTCCTTTAGAGATGCACATCCCACACACACACACTCACATCTCTCGCAGTAAATGCCGCATCTTCCACGCTAGACGTGGATGCATCTCCAAAATTTTGGATATGTGACACTGCTGACTAGTTTCATGCAAGTATTAACTTCTACCATGAAGCGAATGCAGGATAAAATTTCAAGAGTACATAAAAGGAAATAAAACACCAACCGAATCACAATCTTTTCTCATATTCTCAAATTACATAAATGAGACATGATCATGTTGTCCACTTGTAGATAAGCAGTGTGAGAGAAAGCAATCAAGCTTCAATTTGTGCATGGAGGCACAGACGACGAAAATGAAATTCAGCTGTAGAATATGTGATAATAATTTGAACAATCACCAAACAATTTCATTTCGTCATCATACATATGACCGATCTAATACTCAAATCCAAT